GGCAGATATGCGAGCTGGAGAGAGGGGCTCTGGCATGTGTTATACTTACAGCTGCAGTAAAGGTAATTCATTTTGGTGGCACCCTAGCATTAACAATATACCATACAGACTGAAATGCTACTAGTTCTGAGAATAGACGTAGTAGGATGCTTAGAGATGCTAACTCTGAAATTTGGTTGGATTTAACAGCCTACTTTTCCGCTGAGAATGTACTCATTGTTTTTGATATCCTTGTGCAATAGATTGACCAAACCTTCATTCTGATGTTGCTTGTTATGTCTCAGGTGCATTTGTAGGTGTTTCACTGGAAGGGAACATAGTCTCAACTAGGATGGATACAAACCTTTGCTTCTATGGTGATCCTTATCTTACTGCAGCTGACATCCTTCTTGGAATAGTGGACAGACCTAAGGCTGCCGAACCCTTGTATGCAGCTCTCCAGGACCTTTATGCAAGCTTCCGATGCTAGTGGCATCTTGATGTTATAATTATATTTACCTCCAATGTGTTCATGGCGTTCCAATTCTCGGATAAGAAGCTGTACATACCATGCTTCATGGGTGGAAAATCCTCACCTCCAGGACAAAGAAGCAACCTGCGCTCCCCCTATTATTCATGCACATTAGGGTTCGTCATGTTCATTTGTTATTTATCATTGGATGTACAGTTAGTGAACCAGCTGTCTTCACCTGTGTATATATATAGATGATTCTTATACGTGACGGTACATATTTTGGTAAAAAAAAAAAAAAGGAAGGTTCAGTTTAAACTTGAAAGTGTTTGTGTGATGGTCTATGCTCTGTTCTTTCCGTGGGATAATGCGGAGCCACCTGCTACATCGCAAGAACTCTTGGGAAAGTTGAGAAATGGAGTGGCAGTATTGATGGGCCAAATCAAAGCCCATAAACTGTGTCATTTCGGCGGATTTAAACAAGCATCAAGCAAATTTGCATTTGGGCTTTAATATGAAATATGAACGTGTATTGGCAGTTTGTTCATTTCTGATTCCTTTCCAATTCGTCCAAACAAACGATAAGAGAAGGGTTGGTATCATTGCTTTCCAAACCCTCCCTCCAACCCCCACCGCTCTTAAATTTACTTTTATTTTTTTTAGAGGATTCGGGGAAAATTCTTTCAGCGATTAACAGTTTGCATCCTGACTTATCAATTATGGCACTGAAGAACATTTTACTATGAACTTCTATTTCAAAAATTTACTAAAAATCATTAAAATATTTTCATGCTATTTTTTTTTTTTGATTGAAAGTGCTTATAAACTAATAAGAGCATTTTGGTGGGATGACTCAAATTAAGGAACCTAAAACCTCTTCACTAAAAACCGTTAAGCATGTCTAATTGATTCTGGGCTTGTTTGAACAATGTGTTGTTAGCATAAGATGATAAAATAAATACTAATAAAATGCTTCAAAAAGGCTGGGGGTATTAAAATAGTACTAAACTTAACAGTAATTTCTATTGCAAAATGAAGATAAATAATTGCAGCGAGGTGTTCGTTTAGTAAATGTCTCAACTTTTCCTTTTTTTCACTTAAAAACTTCCGAGGTACGGCTGTCCTCAGGTGGCGACTACAATTGAAAACAGCCCTAGTTTAAAATCATTTTTCAAACCCCATCTCACGGCACCAACCACAACAGCAGCAGCAGCATGGGGACTAAGGCCCCGGAGGTTGTGATTCTCACCGAAGATCTTAAGAATGGCTATGATGATGACGATGATGCTGATGTTTCTGTACTGTATGCAAAACCCTTCTCTCGCAAGGAGGGAGTCAATCCAGAAAACCCCATCTCAGTTGAAAGCTACTCTGATGACAGAGACCTCCAGCTCGCCATAATGGCCTCTCTTCAACCTCAATCAAAGAGTAGCAGCAGCGGTATTCGCATTATTAGTAGCAGTACTACAAGTGGTAAAACTAAAAGGGTCATTGATCTTTCCCAAGATTACTTCATTTATGATCTTGATGATGATGATGAAGTTCAATTAATTGGCCTATTTTCCACAACTCCAAGGAAGAAGCTTTTCACAGGCGAGTCTTCCAATTCTAAGGCTACAGCCAACAATGATCATGATAATGTCGATAGCGGTGATTTGTTGATTTACTTTTATGTGTGATATCTGTGTTGATGAAAAGCCAAAGGCTGCATTGTTCTGCATAAAGGGTTGCACTCATTCTTATTGTTCTGAGTGTATGGCTAAATATTCGCCTCAAAGTTGCAAGACAATATTACTAGTATTTATTGTCCGGTTCCTGGGTGTAATGGGAGGTTAGAGCCTGAATATTGCCGGTCTATATTGCCTGTTCAAGTTTTTGATAGGTGGGGTGATGCGCTATGTGAGGCATTGTTATTGGCTTCTGAGAAATTTTATTGCCCCTATAAAGATTGCTCCTCGCTTTTGGTGGATGATAGAGGGGGCAGTGATGAGGCTATTACACATTCTGAGTGCCCGGAGTGTAGGAGATTGTTTTGTGCAAAGTGCAGGGTACCTTGGCATTCGGAGATTTCCTGTGATGAGTTTCAAATGTTGAATAAGGACGAAAGGGAAAGAGAGGATATTCTGCTAATGAACCTGGCCAGGAGCAAGAAGTGGAAAAGGTGTCCCGAGTGCAAAATTTTCGTTGAGAGGATTTCCGGGTGCTTGTTTATGAAATGCAGGTAGTCATGAGTTTTGTTGTGATATTCTTGAGTTCTATTTGAAATTAGTCTTGTTGTAATCTCTCAATTTGCAGCTTCAATTGGCAATTCTCTTTATCTGTCTTTAACTTGGATTGTTGCCATGTTTACAACTCCTTTAGATTTGAATTTATTCTTGTAGATATGGATCTGTATGTTCCGAAATTACAGAAATTTACATCTCATACAAGATTGCATACTTAAAATGATTTACTATGCAAACAAGATATGAACTTCTTTCTGAGTAGTGTGAGATCTTGAAATCTGATTGACATATAATGCTTTTGTTATTGTCATCAGTAACTTCTAAGCTGCTTAGGCGACTTAACGTGAAAGCAGTAGGTGGCAAACTGGCAAATACGTCATTGCAGACTCAGATTTTGGGTAGTGGAAAAGCTATTTTTAACCAATGTACTTATCCTCAAAATTTGTATATTAAATTCTTTTTGACTTCTAGGAGTCATTTTTTGTATTAGGCCAATTTGACGGACCCCTCTCCATTGTGTTAGATCATATTACTTCAAAAGATATCCTAATAGAATTCAGCAGTTTGGGGATTTTTGAACTGAAAATTAGCTTATGCCCAATCTCAAGACAGTTAAGCAGGTCATTCCTTCAGCAATTATGAGAACAATGAGCATGTCTTAATGAAGAATAAGAAGTAACTAAAATTTTTCCATTTTCTTTTACCCCTTTCCTGTCTTCTTTTTTTCTTGTCCCTCTTTTGAGTTTTTTGGCACCTTGATTTTTAAGTCCATCCATCCTGATTCTGTAATCCAACCTACATGCCAATTTGTGATCCACTTTTAGACACAAAAGGGAATGAAAAGAACCTCCTTGGAAAGGCTATTATCATTTGTATCTAGCTTGTCGGTAAGTAAAGTTAATACAAGGCATGCTTAAAGCTTCTCAAAGCTATTTTTTGTTGTACCATACTAATACCATTAATCAGTTTGAAAAATAATAAATTTGCTTACTGTATTTTTGAAATTTTGTGTATTTTTGCTGTACTGTGCAAAAGTTTTGATTTTGCTCATATTCACCTGCATTTTTGGTTTTTTTTTTTTAATATTTGGAAAGATGCTAATTAACTATAATATGGGGGATTGCAGGTGTAAATACACATTTTGTTACAACTGTGGAGCTCAAATGGGCACTAATCATTACTGTGCCAATTGTAAGCATTAGCTTAGATCCTTCTGCAGATTGTGGATGGTGGGACATTGTACTTTTTGTATAGCATATATCTTTACTGTTTTTGGTTCCCTCGGAATAATGAATGAATAGTATCTTGGGCGCATTTTGCTGAAAAGTTTTCCTTTTCTTTGATAGTCTTGGAAGCATCTGCCTGGATAAAATATATTTGTATAGTGTCCAAGAAGCCACAGTAAAATGCCTGAGTCCTTTACCTGGCTTCTTGTTATTTACTCATAATAGGAGTTTAAAGCTGTGTAAGCTATCTCCTGATTGTCATGTAGTGTATCCAAATACCAGGTGGAGCGTATATTTTGCTGACAATATTAGAGCGGATGCACCATCATGACTGAGTGTGATTGTAAAGGCTGAGATAAAAACTTCTGCCAGGCTAGGTTTCCTGACTCCTTGATCACATGATGGATCTTGGGTAAGGTTACATGTTGTGATTTTCGGAGATGGAATATTTGGTTGCAGAATTTGCTGAAAGCAGCTTGGTTTTTGTGCTTGGTTATAGGTTGGTTTTGGATATTCGTTCCATTTGATCGTAGGAAAATTGTTTTGCATGATCTTTCCAGTTTTTTGTCTTTGACCAAGTTACATGGGTACTAGTCATGAGCGATATGTCTCTTACAGTGTTTAACATTAATTTTGATTCCGGACCTGAGATCCGTTTCATGCAGCTTGGTACACACACACACACCCCCTTCCCCTCCCGGGAACCTGTTCTTCCACTTTTTTGACTATTGGTGACTAGTTTTTAGATTATAATCAGAGTTGGATGGTTTCACATTGAGTTGTAATAGATCTTTTTCAAGCTTATAATGCTTGATACTTCTATGTTATGGAATCAGCAATTAATTACCTTAATTCTTTGTCCCCAAAATAACACGAGCAAACCATAGAAGTCGGCTTTCAATCCTCAGACTGCATAAGTAACTTTTTATGCACTGAAGGTTAGAGATACAATTTTGATCTGTCTCTTCCATGGAAGGTATACAATAATTGCTGGAGACAAGTTCTTGTTGATGTTTCTAGACTATCTATTTCTCCATGTTTGCAATGGTTGTAAGCTGAAGTGCTTTCTTTCTTGAAATGAACTCCTAAGGGCTAAGACTAAATTACGTCGCTAGGGATGAAAGTTGACCTTGAAAGTGCATCAATGGCTTGTTCAAGTTCATAAGTGGTCTGATCAAGCATTTCCATGCAATCCCTAAGTGCATTCTGCTGCTGTGCATTCAATTCTTGGTTTTCAAAATGAGCCACGCTTGCAACTTGGGTATCCAACACATGTTCCTTGGTTTGATTGATAGCAAACTCAAGAACATGATGGAAAGTTACGGTTGTGTTGGAGGGAGGAATGGAAGAGAGGGTGGTGAAGCACAAAGAAGAGTAAAGAGTTTTAGTGCAAGCTTTTTTGATCACCGAACTCAGAGGAGTATGCAAACTCGTGGGTCTTGGATGGTGAATTCTTGCACTTCTTGAAGATGGGGGATTCATGAAAACTAGAGCAGCCAGAACTGCTATCAGAGCGAGGAAGACCGTGATTGCGATCGCTTCCTTCCGGGCTTCTTTAAGATCCCTCAATGTTTGGGATGATTGAGAGCGAGGCCAGTTAAGATTAAAACTTCTATAAAGAAGCATGATCAGCCAATTAAAGATTCGAAAGAGGTGAATAGCTGAAGTTCAGTGGGGCAAAGTCGGATGGCGAAAAGGGAGAAAAATGGGAATCTTGAATTTGTTGACTGTTACATTAGCTAAGTGGCATGTGATGGCAATTTAAGGCGGTTGCTGGCAAGAATATAGGTGATGCTGTCTTGTGTGGTATCGCAAAATGGACCGAGTATCTAATCCATTCCCACAACAGAAGCGCAGAAGCCCAAAAATAAAAAAATAATAATGTCGAAATGGAAGGTAAATTGATCTTATTACAAAATGACATTTGAAAATGCCCAATTCCTCGCACTACCAAAAAGCAGGAAAAGAAAAGGAAATGGCAAACAACCCAACGAAAATGACCTACAAGAAGGACCTAATTGACACTTGAACAGGGACTAAAAAGACACAACCAACCAACAATAAAGAAAGGCAAGACTGGCAGAAGTAACAAAAACACAATCCTCTTCTTTTTACACGATCTCAAGCTCTTTTATTTTATTCGTCTCCCTCCCGCTGCTTCCAACTTTTTCTGCCGCAAACTCTTACTGATCAACAGCCAATGGAACAGCTTCAGCCTGGAACCCAAAACAGACAACACGATTGTTAGAAGAAATGCTTTTGAAAGAGGAGAGCTGAACAATGCAGATTCATCAACTCAAGACCAGATAACTTACCAACTTGCGATACTTGAGAGCATAAAACATTTCCAGATAACGGCGGATCTCCTGGCGATCAAGCTTGGAAACACATTTCCAGAATCCATAAACTCCAGCCAGCGTCAGCAACCGATCTGAGTAAATTTGCCAGGTGTACCTTCGGATTTCAAACAGGTAAAAGTCATTTTAGCTGCCAACTATAACTGAACTAATTTGTACAGAGTAATGTAGAAGATCGTTGTGAAATTGCTTGCTTACTTTTCCTGGATACGCTTCAAGCCACCGGCTGAAATGGTGTCCCAGTAAGAAGGCTCTTTCTTGCACCTTTCAAAGAAATTGGCAAGGAGCTCGCTGACCTGCTCACCGTGGTATGGATCAATGTGGAAACCAGATTTCCCATGAATAATGATCTCAGCAGGACCACCATGGTTGGTTGCAAACGTTGGCAAACCACATGTCATGGCCTCGACCACAGTCAACCCAAATGCCTCATAAAATGCAGGTTGCACGAATGCTCCCTTGGTGTCAGCAATGTACCGATAGAGTTCACCATTTCTAACCCTGTTCATCTGAGAAGAAATCCATCTGAATTGGCCGTTCAAGTTGTAAGTCTCTATCAATGAATACATTTTCTTCATCTCAGCTTGTTCTTCCAAATCTTTGGATTCCTTCCTTCGGTCTCCACCAACCACGACAAGATTAACCAATTCCCTTAGTTTTGGGTTCTTAGCATACAATTCAACAAGCCCTGTCAAATTCTTTACGCGATCCAGTCTTGCCATGGTGAATAAGATAGGCTTCTTTTTGTCTTTTAGCACACATCTGTCAGATAAAAACATGTTGATGAGTACTTCAGAGAACTTAGTAGTAACTAATCCATTAGTACAGGAAAGAGATAGATATTTACAGGTGTTCCTCATTCTCCACATCGCTGAAAAGCAACTCCTCAATTTCAGGATGGAAGGATGTCAATCTCTTTTCCTTCTCTGTGTGTGGGTAGTAGAGGTTTGTATCAGCTCCAGGTGAGACAATGTTGAATTTTGGATCAAAAACATCAATGCCATGCACAACTCTGTATAATCCTGGCATTGTGAAGGCCATATGGCTTTCATATTGCCCAACAGTGTCCTTGCTGAAAAAAAAAAAAAGAAACAAAAAAGGCAATCATTATCAGAGGGATTAAGATGCAAAGATTAATTAGTTACAAACAAGGAACTTCAATGTACCTTCCAGCTATTTCTTGGAAAGTGCTAGTGATAATGAAATCTGTATGGTTCATTGCGATAAGATCCGCAGTGAACTGGCATGAGAAGTGGTACTTCTCATCAAATTTGCTCAAATAAATATCAGAATCAGGATACTTGGTTTTTTCCAAAGCATGAGCAATGGTACACTGCAAAGATAACACACCAAAGCATTAATCATCTTATTTGCAAACCAAAGAAAAGAAAGTAACACTTAAAGCAATGAGAACTGTAGCACAGACCTGTGTTACACCTAACTTGTGAGCAAGCAAGGAGGCAACAAGGTTACCCTCACTGTAGTTACCAATAACCAAATCTGGCTTTGCCTGTAATTCTGCAGTGACTTCTTTTGCAACATCCTGATAACGGAGAATTCAGAAAGATGGTTAGATAGCTCATGTATTTAGAAAAAACTCAATGACCAAGGGATCTGTGAAAAACAAAGGACTCACCTCAGTAAATGTTTCCATGTAGGGCCAAACTTCAAAGCGAGAGATCCATTTGCGAACAACGCCCTTCTCAGTTCTGAAGGGGACTCTGAGTATATGGGAGTACTCTGATCCGTATACTTTCTCAAGCCGTTGACCACAAGTGGTTCCAGGGGCATCAGGTAGCAGCCTAGTTATCTAGGAGAAGATGAAATTGATTGTTAGTCCAGTTTCACTTGAGAATTCACAACTTTGAACCAAAAATCTAAACGGTATAGAGCACTCACAATTAGAATGCGTGGCTTGACATCAAGTCCTTGTTCCTTTATCCTCTTCAGCATCTCACGCTCCAAGGCAGGAACTTGATCCAATATGTAAACAACCTGCAAATCCAAAAAAAAAAAATGTCAATCTAAGCATCCTGGCACGTTATTAAAGTGGGATTCAAAGAGTTTAATCAAGAACATACCTGGCCACCGGTATCAGGATAACCCAATACGTTTTCCTGGGCAAAGTATCCATGGGGGGAAAGAATAACAACATTGAATACCATAGGGATTCTCCCTAGGAATTTCTCTAGTGTGCACGAGTCAGGAGCCTCCAGAAGATCCAGAAGCATGCAGATCATTTCCAAGACACGCTCAGCAGTATCACCCCAACCTCTCTCCAGTCCAATTTCTTGGAATTTGTGCTCGAATTCAGAGTATGGTGTATCTGCAGAGAGTGTTGTTAGGTACTCCTCTGCCTTCCTCAGAACTGCTTGGAGAGTGTTAAGGTCCTTGATCCTGTCGTTAAGCATCATCGTCTGCAGAAGGATTCCAATCTATCTATTAAAATATGCTGAAAACATGTCGAAAATTATATAATTCTCACAAGCAAATATAAATCAAGTAGCTGCAACATCTTGACTTTCTTAGAACATTTTTACAATAAAGAAAACAATGATGAGACAGTGAAGTTATGAGAAGGCTACCTTGCCCTTGTATTGGTGAACACGGAGAAAATCAAGGAGAGGGGCCATGCTCTCCTTGTCATGGAACATTTTGGCAGAGAGGTGCCTGTTGAGGAACTCAACTCCGTCACCTATGTACTTAGTTAGAGTTGGCTTGGGAAAAGATGCTGTAAATGGTTCGAAGTCCAGTTCCAAAACAAAATTCCCATTTTTGCTGCATTAACACATCGCATTAATTAAGCAGAAAAACAAAGGGATTGATGTAGTCATTAACCGAGTAAAAAGTACCATATAAAGTCCAAGACCCTTATTTACCTTCCATCAACGAGTTCTTCCTTGAAATGCAGGTACTCTGGCACGGTTAACTCCTCAACAACGAGTGCATGGACATTGACTCGAACATACTCCCAGACACCAGGTCTGAGACGAATAGCAAGTGCAACCCAGGGGGGCAACACAATTGCTTCCTGGAATAGTGAAGACCGTTTAACAGAGTTGCTTTCTAGTAATTAACAGGTTAGTCATAGACTGTAAAAACAATTCTACCTGTGTGGACTTCAGGACTTCTTCAAAGGCATGATCATGAATTTTTTGTTTACCATCCTTGTTAATTTCTTCAAACTCAGCCAAAAGTTGGTGGGGTTTCAGGATCCCTTTCCCATGGGTTTCAAGCCTGCAAACACAAAAAGCCAGTTTAATGGTAATAATAGTAGTACTACCCTCTCTTTGCAGTCAATCAACAGTAGTAAATCTAAACCATTAGGCTGTTTAGCCCCAGTAAACAATATACCTCGACATAAACAGCAAAACATCGTTGCGGTGGGCAGCCAAAGTAGCATCAAGGCGTTCACGGAGGCTGTGAACACGGGTCAGAACACGTTCGGCCATGGCAGTTGATGGATCGACCAACGAAATCTCAGACAGGTTTCAACTGCAAAACAAATAACAATTCAGATCTCATCTTATCCAAAATAGATTCCTACATAATATAACAAGAGATTGACCCAAAAAGTCAAATGATCCCACCTAATTCATTCAATCTAGAATGTTAAATATTTCTAAACCTAACACCTCAACACAGTAGCCCAACTCACTTATTTAGCATACCTACCAACATATTGACCTGAAGATTTTTTTTCCCCTCTTAGCATAGGTTCTACCTGGGCATTCATCACAGGTTTGATCACACCATTCAACCAAAACAAAATTAGAAACAAAAAAAAAAAAAAGTTGCATGCGTGACAACCAAGAATTGTTACAAAATCTGTCACAAATTCAAGGCTGCTAGTACAAGCAACATTGCAAAACGAGCACTTTTTAAATGTCAAACCCCATGATCAGATCTGAAAGAATTATGCATGCAAGACTTCAATAAATCCACTGAACCAGTTAGAAGCAATAATTGAAGCAAGACTGTAGAATCACGCTTGCAAAACAAAACAGGATTAGCTTTTAAAGCATGAATCACAGTGATCCCGAACCAACTCAGGATCTATGTCCCTCCCACGACTCCGTATGACAGATTTCAGAGACTGAAACCTCTAGATCCAAGAGCAGTTAGCTATTGAAGTAGAAAAAACAAGTTTACCAGGAAATTTTCCTAAGCAACAAAGCAGAACAACATATTGTGCATAAGTTGTAATGATCAAGATAAATACACAACATTAAAGAACAAAACTATGCAAAAGATTCTCGGCAGAAAAAG